TATACTTTTTGATAGCCGGGCACCATCAGCTTTCTTCGCCACATTTGCTTATGCACCCATTTGTCTTCAGTGATCCGTTCGACACCTCGTGAACAAATAAATGAAATTTTGTCTTGAAGCATGGTGTAGCATGGGTAACGGTCTCTGCTTGTGGGCATACCCGCTTGGAGAGGGATAGAGGAGTGGTGTCTTGTTTCCTAAGATCATCGGAAATATGTGTTTTCCAGTGGTCTTAGGCAACCCCCGTGAAAGGGTCGTTCAACACCCCCTGTCGCAACCCACAGGTTGAGAACTGCTGCTATATAGGGTCACTATGAGACAGAGTCCACTTGATGGAAGTGGGTGGGTAAAGGTCACAGAATCAGGAAGCTAAGATGCAAAACTACAGATGTGTTTTACTCCTAGAATCAGGCTATTTCTAATATTTTACCAGTCTACAGCTCAATTTTACAGCATTCACGGCACTTGAAACCCAAAACTCACTGCCGTCTAGTCTTTTCCAGCACATAGCAACCTCAGGTCACCAAATCCTCAGGTTTCTGAAGAAAATGTGGAGAGAATATCGCTATGTGGCAAATGTATGTGTGCATTTTGTGATTAGCGAATTCCTTGCAATATATATCTTATGATATATATCCCCCGTTGCTTGTGATTCTTGGATTGTACCATGACTTATACAATGAAGATGTGTCAAAATTAAAGTATGCATTTACATAGCGCCTGTGAACTATTCTTTTTTTGTTTTGTTTTGTTTTTAAATAGTTTTATTAGGGGCTCATACAACTCTTATCACATCTCTACATTTATCAGTTGTGTAAAGTACATTTGTACATTCATTGCTCTCATCATTCTCAAAACATTTGCTCTCCACTTAAGCCCCCGGCATCAGGTCCTCATTTTTTCCCCTCCCTCCCCGCTCCCCCCTCCCTCATTAGCCCTTGATAATTTATAAATTATTATTTTGTCATATCTTGCCCTGTCCAACGTCTTCCTTCACCCACTTTTCTGTTGTCTGTGCCCCAGGGA